ACTAATAGAAGAAGCACTAGAATTTAATTGAGTCATTTTCATCTAGTCTATTATTAGCACTATGCCAGTAGAATTGTCAACAATCAACTTCCAGCTCCATTTGCAATAGACAAATTTGATAAAAGAAAAAATGATTTTATTTTTAAGTTTTGAATATATCCTAACCAAGTTGTAGGATTATTAATGACTATTTAGATTTGATAAAATAATTGACTTTATTCATTCTATCTTTTGATACATTTTTTATATTTTATATTGTTATTTGTAGAAAACACTATGGATTTACATTTAATAAAATAATTGACTTTATTCATTCTATCTTTTGATACATTTTTTATATTGTATATTGTTATTTGTAGAAAACACTATGGCTGCACATTCGGTCGAAATCGAACCGAAATCGAAAATTTGGTCCGTTCGGGTTAGATCTCAACGGAGAGGTCTCTGGAGACGACCTTAGAATCAAAATAGTACCGAAAACTACGGTTCAGTTCGGTTTAAAACTGAAAATTTATCGGTTTTATCCGTTCGGTTATCGGTTATTCGATAAAATAGAAAAATGACAAAAATAAAATTTACAATTCGTGAGTTACCAAAACAAACTAAAATCTATAAGGGAAAAAAAAAAAGATAACTTGTCCTAAAACACAACTTTATCAAGTTCTGGATCATTTCCACGTGTTCTTTCTCAAACGTGGCGTCCTCATTGCCCAATTCATCAGGTTCTGGATCATTCGATGATGCACGAAGAGGTTATAGTGGACTTGAACTCAAAGTCCTCGAACATCTCAAAGGACCCAAACCCCCTCTTTTGTGTTTTGTACCTAATAAATGCATGATTATGAAACTAAATTAGTAATCACAACATAATTAAATTCAACATTCAAGTTAATTTCATAGCAAAAAAAAAAAGAAAAGAAACAAGAAGTCATGTAATAAGTTAGCAAGAAGAAAAAACCCCATACACTAAAACTCACAAATTAGAAGTCATGTAATCTCAAGCTTAGGACCTAACAAATTCTTTCAAATTTCATTAAAAGTTGTAATCTTTTCAAATTTGAATAAAAGCTGCAACTTTAAAACACCACAAGAAAGCATGTATTTTAGAGAACAAGTTTGTCGATTTGCAAGGTAACTAGAACACCAACTATTAAATTAGACATCAACATCATTTGCATTGTCAAACGACAGTTCTATCTTCATTTCCCATTCCATTTTTTTTCGATCACTGCCGATATTATCCTATATATAGTAAAGATGCAATAAGCTTCACCTCTACTTGTGTTACTTACTGCCTTACATAAATTTATACTCATAAGAACACAAGATTGCTAATTTCATTTAAAATTTATGAGATAGTAATAATTAATATCTAATATATAACAAGCTTGAATTAACTCTTTCTTTCTCGATCAATGTATGGAATCTTTCTTAAATGACAAGGCATAGCCGCATAGCCTATCAAATAGTAAATAGCTTTCTAGAGACAATCCAAAACTGGAATTCAAAAACACCAAATTGGTTCAATCGAAACAAATTAATCACGAATTAAAAGAAGAAAGAGAGCTTCAAAGTCTTGAAAAAAATCCCGAACCTGAAGTGCAGTCCGTACAAGGAGATTTCTGAGTAGAACTCATTTGAGGTTTGAGAATACGAGGTCTCCGTCGAGTGACGGCCTGCCGAGTGGGGTGTGTGGTGTAGGGGAGCGGGCCGAGCGGCGATATGAGCTGCGGAGGTAGGGTACTAGGGTTTCTGGTTTCAGATTTCTAGCGTGTCTTCGACTGGGAGTGGAAGAATAACCGAGTAAGTACTAAGTATGGGCCTATGGGAGTCGAGAGATGTCAGGATGACAGATGATAATTGAGAAGAGTGGGATTGCATACTTGGATTTGGGTCTGCT